TAAAAAAGTTAACGACCATGCAATATTGCAAAGTAATCTCATAGAACCTGCTGTTGCTAGTCAATCTCTTATTGCAAGGATTGTGAGGTGTAAAGTTCTTTGCAATCAGCTTAAAATCATTGCTTCTGTAGCTTTGTATATTGATGCTGATGGTGTTGATGATGGTAATGGTGATGATGGTGATGGTAGTGATGGTAATGATGATGGAGATGAGGATAATACTGAGGATGATGGTGATGATAATGATAATGGTGATGATGATGGGGATGTTGGTGATGATGGTAATGATGGTGATGATGATGGTGTTGATGGCGATAGTGATAATGGTGATGATAGGGATAATGGTGATGATTTTGGCGATAGTGATAATGGTGATGATGGTGATTGTAAGTGGTAAATGAAAGATCTTTTTGTAACGTGAATTTTGGTTGTTAATGATGAGGATAGTTGTAGATAAGGATGAAAATGGTGTTTATGATAATAATAATAACTACAGTGATGATGATAACTGTAATGATAATAATAATGATGATAACAATAATGGTAAAAACAATAAAATAATGTTAGTACTACTACAACTACTAGTACTGCTACTATTACTAATAAAAATAATGGTAATAATAATAATGATGATGATTATGATGTTAATGATATTGATTATGGTAATAACAAAAAAATATACTACTAACTAATAATAACATTCATAACACAAACAATATTGGTGATAAATACTATTACTACTACTACTAGTAATAATAATAATAATAACAATAGCGACAAAAACAAGAGATTAAAGAAACGAATCAATAACAAGAAAGAAAAAATCAAAATTATTATTATCATTATTGTTATCATTAGTTGCTGTTTTTGTAGTACAACTATTATAATCATTATTGTTATCATTATTATCATTATCGTTATTATAATTATTATTGCTATCATTATTATCATTATCATTATTATCATTACCATCATCATCAATATCATTATTATCATTATCATCAACATCATCATCACCACCACCATCATTATCACCATATTCATTATCAACACCATCATTATCATCACCATCATCATCATTATTTAGTTCTAGTTTAGTTTTTTCTTTATCTTCTTCTCTTCCTTTTATTCCCCATCTTTCTCTTCCTCCTCATATTATGACTCCTCGTTCTCTTCCTGCTCTTTGTCCTCCTCCTTATTTCCGCCTCCCTCTTCCTCCTCTTCCTCCTCCTCCTGCTCCTCCTCCTCCTCCTCATCCAGAGAGGAAAGAGATAGATTGATAGTTAGAGTGAGACAAAGAGAGAAAAAGAAAACAGAGAGTGAGAGAGAGAGAATGAGAGAGAGAGAATGAGAGAGAAAGAGAGAGAGAGAAAGAGAGAGAGAGAGAGAGAGAGAGAGAAAGAAAGAGAGCAAACAACCCTCTCTCAACCTTGTCTGTTTTTTGTTTTTTTTCCCTTTGATTAAAGATTTTGTGTGTGTGGCGGGATGGGGTGGGGTGGGGTGTGGGGGGGTGGGGGTAAGCATCATTTTAGACAGGATTACTGAAATGATACTAAAGGGAAAAAAAAATACGGTCATTAGTTTACGTAATGAGATGGCAGTAGTTTTTTTTTTTTATCTTATTCATTTCTCTCTCTATTTGTCTCTCTTCTCTCTCTCTCTCTGGCTCTGTTTGTCTGTCTGTCTGTCTGTCTGTCTGTCTGTCTCTCTCTCTCTCTCCCTCCGCTTACTCTCACTCTGTTACGAGGAATCAGTAAGGTGAAAAGAGAAATAGATAAATATATATATATATATATATATATATATATATATATATATATATATATATATAGAGAGAGAGAGAGAGAGAGAGAGAGAGAGAGAGAGAGAGAGAGAGAGAGAGCGAGAAAGAGAGAGAGAGCGAGAAAGAGAGAGAGCGAGAGAGCGAGAGAGGGATAGAGAGTGAGAGCGAGAAAGAGAGAGAGCGAGAGAGCGAGAGAGGGAGAGAGAGAGAGAGAGAGAGAGAGAGAGGAGAGAGAGAGAGAGGGGGGGGAGGAAGAGAGAGATTGAACCCAAGAATAAAGAAAAAAAAAAGAGAAAAAAAAAAGAAAGGAAATTCATGTCCATTTAAATCCCTTCTCCCATCCTCTTAGCCTACCCCCCCCCCCCCCACACACGCCCTTACCCCCCTCCCCACACCCCACACCAGGCTATTTCTCTGCACCCACAAGCGCCCACGTTTACCCGCTCCCCCCCCCCCCCCCCCATTCCTTCTCACAGAAGCTTTCTAGCCTTTAATACTTAACATATTTAGCCTCCAACACTTTATTTTCAGCCCAAAAACTTCATTTTCAGCCCCAACGCTCACTTTTCAACCTCAATACTTCTTTTTCAACCCCTATCACTTCTTTCTCAGCCCAAACACTTCCTTTTTAGCACCCAGCACTTCATTTTCAGCCCAACACTCCCTTTTCAGCCCCCAGTGCTCTTTACTTTAGCCCCCATCACTTCATTTTCAGCCCAAAAGCTTAATTTTCAGCCGCGAAAACCTCAATACTTCCTTTTCAACCCCAAGCACTTTCTTCTCAGCCCCAAGCACTTCTTTTTTTCTAGCCCCCGCCACTCCATTTTCAGCCCCCAGCTCTCTTTAGCTGCAATAATTTCCTCATTAGCTCCCAAACCTTTTTTTTAGCCCCCAACGCTTCCTCTTCAGCCCCCAACAGCTTTCCTTTTTAGCCCCTAATAGCTTCCTGCCCCCCCCCCTCCCAACCCCCTTTTTTATCACCCCAATTTGTCCCTTATAGACTTCCTAGACACTAAGATATCCTCTTAACTAGACCTTACGGACATAGGAACTAAGACCTCTTCTTTTTAACTTACTTAGCCCTTTAATGAATTTCCTGTCTCCAGTCTATGTCCTATTTACAGAATAACTTCTTCTAATTGGATTATTTTCTCCCCCCCCCCTCCTGCCCTTAATCAATGAATTTCATTTCTTTAATTGGCCCCCGGGAATTTGCTATCTCTATCTTCTCTATTTACCCCATAATTAGCAATCTTATGAATTAACTATCAGCCTTTCTTCACACATTAATTTGTCCCCTAAAACTTGCTAGCCAACCAACCGCCTTCTATTTACATCCTAATTAGCTCCCATGTGAATTTACTAGCCTCAACCGCCTCTTATTTACACCCTCATTAGCTCCCATGTAAATTTGCTAGCCAACAGCTTTCCCTCTTTACACCCTAATTAGGCCTATATGAACTACCTATCCCCTAACCCATCTTATTTAACTCCTAATTAGCCAGCCCCTTATGAACTTTCTAT